ATAGCCTGTATACATTTCTGTGATTTGAGATCTCTTCTGCAATCTGTTCTTTGCATTATACTATTGTAAGCATTTTCCTACATATTAGTGATTATCGTTACCCTTCTTTCCTCAAATTACAGCTTCATTGTCATCATGGGATCCCTTCTGGAAATGTAGCATTTAAACCAGCAGATATTGAAGAATGCTATTTGGACATTTTGAAACTTAAATAAGACCTTTCTCTGACCAGTTGAATTCTGTTCTTTTCCATTCAAGCTGGCGTATTAAATGAGTCTGGTTGAAGGATTTAAAAAAATCTGGAGAGGGTCTGGTAGCACCTTTTTCAATTAACTTTTAAAAAAAGCATAAGCTTTCATGAGCCACAACTCACTTTATCAGATGTGTAGAGTGGCTAGACCTTGTCCATTTTAATATGGGTGGACGTCAACTCCCAGAACCCCTAGTCAGCATGCTGGGTCAGCCAGTATACACAACCATGGCTAAGATAGAAAAAAAGTGGGATAGATTGATATAGGATTTAAATAGGGATGATGGGAAAGGAGGGGACAACAGGTTGGTTATGTAGATACAGGTTACATGTGAAACAGATTAGCAGTATCTTATCAATTAACAATTGTTGTGTTAAAACCCCTTTGTATTTGTTGATATCTTGAGCTTGCCTGAAATCTTTTGAGGTATAGGTAATAGAGATGGACTAATGACCACAATTGTGACTGGAACATATGTTGTAAGTCATTGAGATCATAATTCTAGTCAAACCTAATTTTACGACAATTTTTACAGTGGACATTAAACCATACAATTGTTAAGCAAATCCAGCTTCCCCATGGGTGTTTTTTGCCAGAAATTGGCAAAAAAGATCATAAAGTACAATCATGTGAACCAGTTAACAACTGCGATCGCTTGACTATAGGGGTGGTGCAGTGGTTGTAAGTGCAAGTGTAGTTCGTAGTCCCTTTTTCCAAGGTCATTGCAACTTTTGAACAATTGTAAAACAAACTTATCATAAGCCGAGGATTACCTGTATGCACATTCAGCAATCTCTTGCTCAATGATGGCTTTAAAACAGGTTGATATAGATGCTACCAGGCTTCCTTGGGGTTTTTTGTGACTAGGCTCTTTCACAATGCTCAAGTACTGTAAAATCCAAAAGCCTTCTCTTGACCGGTCTGTGGCTTTTTAATGTTCTTTGTATCAGAGTTCTTAACCAGACTAATAAATCACCTGATCTTAATTTTTAAGAAAGTCTGCTCAAGTCATATTATTCTTGCAAGATTGTCATGTTAAAAAAAATAAATGAAACTCCTTAGCATGTTTGGATCAGAAATGGCTCTAGGCAAGTTGGGGCTGAAGGCAGAAAATCCAACATGGTGCACTCCTCCTTTCCACTACTACAGAGATTAAACAAGTTGATTATTTGCCCAATAATTTTCATGTCACCTGCTTGTGGTAAACTATTTTACCCTGTGTGATATTTAGGCCAAAAATTCAAAGGGGTGGTGGTGGTAGTGGTGGTTCAGAAAACAATTAAAACAGTCATTCATAAAATTCCAAAAAAAGGAAGTTGCAAGAAAACCTTATGTTACTTTTTTGGGAGAAGCAATTCTGACTAGGACTGTGTAAAATAGGATGTGCTCAACCTAAACCAAGACTTTTCAGATTAGAAACAATGCCATTTTGAAATTAGAAGATTTCCAGAGCATTCTGGAAAGTTGGGAGTTTCTATTTCTATTTCAAAATGGAAAGTTTCAAGCTCAGATGTGTTTTCAGTTCAAAACAGTCTGCATATGATTAGTTATAAATTTGTGTAAATATAGAGAGGAAATGACATGTCACAAAATTACACCAAATGATATATTTAGACTAATGCTAGAGAAAAACCAAGGAAACTGTGAGTTTTGGAAATTGAAAGATTTCACTAAAACTTATCTGTACTCTTGCTATGGATGTCTATGGAATTCTCAATCATCCAGGTCATGGTTGTCTCAAAGGTGTTGTTCAAAAGGCAACTGGGCTTTCTTTCTTTTTTTCCTTGATGACATGACACTTCTCATCCAAGAACTGAAGAAGCTTCTTGGATGAGAAGTGAAACATTTTCAAGGAAAAAAACAAGGAAGTCCAGTTGCCTTTTGAAATGTACTTTTGGGACATCTTATGGATATTTTTTACCAGGTATTACATCAGATACACACCAGTTTCCCTAACCACAAAGAAAACTAAAAGGGCTCCAATGTAGTACTCCTTACCAGTTGTTATTTATGCTCTATTATTGGTGCATGTAGCCATTAGAAGTTTGCAAGTCTTATTTTAATATTTATTATGCTCTTAGAGCCAGAAAAAATCAAATATGCATAGCTTGCAAGTTAAAACTAATGTTAGGGCAACAGATAGGAGGGGGAAAGAATGTATTTGATAGTAAAATATTACACCATATTATGGCATGTTTTGTTCTGAGTTAAGATGTCATATGCACCCATTTTGTTATACAATTAACAATTCTGACTCATTACATGTGAATCCATTCAACAGTGCTTATTCAAGAAACTCTTGCTAAACGATATATGGTCTGTTGTACCATCTGAATCCATCCAACATATTTGAAGACAGGTCCTGTGAAATGAGTCCCATTTGCACGTAAGAGGTTGATATTCATATGACTAATTAATAAAAGGTTTTTGTATGTTCAGTTTCAAATATTAAAACAAAGTCTTGATAACTCATGGAAACTTAGCTTTACTTCCTGCATTAGAAAGGTAAAGATTGCTTCTGATACTCATTTAATAATACCCAATTTTTAAACTTAGAAGAACCTACATCAGAACTTACCACAGGGCATTACAGTTTCATGGAAGTTTGCCCCAGTGAGGCCAGGAATGGATGAGAAAGTCTTTCTAAATACATAAAAGGTGATTTGGAATATTTGTGGTATCAGTTCTTGAGACAATAAGGTTACACTCACCTAACATGCTTTATGAAGTTGGGTGAAGATCTAATGGGTGCATTTGCATCATATAGTAATCTGGGTTTGTGATAACCTTGTCCAATTTATGATTTAGCATAACCTGCTTGGATAGCATCAGACTGATTGCAGTATGCAAACCCAAGAAATACAATCATTCAATAACCAGGTAAAGCCTACAGTATTATATTTATGCAGCCAGAATGGGTCTGATTGCTGTGTGAAAGTAACAAAATAGCTTTTCTTGTTATTATGTAATATGAGGAATAGAATACTTTATACACAGGTAAGTTCATTCTGACCTACACTGTTTCATCTATGATCACCTTTCTCTTAACAGGAGGCAGCAAATATAAACATACTAAACTAGATATTCAGAATAACAAGACTGTGTGATTGATATGGGTTATGGGCGGCTTTGCGTGATCTTGGTGTCCCATCCTACAAGTGGTGGGATTCAAATATGTGAACAACCGGTCCTCTGTGTGGATGCCGCTTCCGGAAGTCCATTCTGGGCCTGGGCAACAAAAAATTAGCTACCAGTTCTGCTGAAGTGGTGTGAACTGGCTGAATCCCACCACTGCATCCTGATCAGACTCATCAGATCACTGTCCACTGATCAGGAGGCAATAGTGATAACACCTTATGGTGACATAGATTGATTCAAAATCAGTAAGGGAGTCAGGGATGTATTTTATCAACTATATTGTTCAATCTGTATGCTGAAGTGATCATGCGGAAATTAGATCTGGCTGGTGTTAGAGTGAAGATTGGAGGAAGAACCACAAATAATTTGAGGTATGCAAGTGATATATAACACTATTGGCTGAAAATAAGGAAGATTTGAAAAAAATGATCTGGAAAAGCAAGGACAAAAGTGAAAAAGTAGGATTGAATCTTAATATCAGGAAAACAAAGATAATGACAACAGTTGCAGATGGACATGAGACGTTTAAAATCAACAAGGAGAAAATTGAATTAATTCAAGAATTTATCTTCCTTGGATGTAAAATTGTTCATAATGGCAGTTCTACTCCTGAAATCAAATGCAGGATAATCTTAGGCCACACTGCAATGATTAACATGAATAAGATCTGGAAAAGCAGAGATATTGATATAAATACAAAAAGGCTAGTTAGAGCGATAGTTTCCCCTATAATGATGTATAAGAGTTGGACACTAAGAATGGTTGATTAAAGGCTTGAAAACTTTGAATTGTGCTGGTGTAAATTATTGTGTATACCATGAACAGCTAGAGTAACAGGTGTTAAATTGTATAAAACCAGACACAACACTAGCTAAAATCATAAGACCACGTCTGATTTACTTTGGCCATGTCATGTGTGCAAATTTATTGTAGAAGGCAATGATGCTAGGAATGGTTAGTGAAACTAGAAGGGGCACCAAGAACATACTGGCTTTTATAACATCAAATCTGATACAAAGTTGAACATCCAACAACTGAAAGAAGCTATGCTTGACAGGATAGCATGGACAGCTTTTGCATATAACGTCACCAAGAGTCGGATATATCTTAAGTGGTTAAACCAACCAACCAATGTGTGTTTGTTCAATTTCAATAACTGCCTATCCTCTGGGCAATCCACAATCAAATCAATTGAACTAAGTACAACATTATGGATTAGTCATTTTTTCTGAGCCCAAGCTACTTCATGGGATGGTTGTGGTTGGGAAAATAGTAAGAAATGTATAGAAATAAATACAAGTGTGACATCAGCTGAGAAAAAAAATACACGTTAATACATTCAACAAACACAAAACCAGGTTTTCGAGGCCTGGCGAAAGGCCAGCAGGATCGGGGCCATCGTAATCTCTGTGGGCAGAGACTACGGCCCTCGTATACACATATACTCACACTTACATAAGGCAGCTATTTTGCCTTTTGCGTAACTGAACTCACTCATGGCTACACTATTACTACTGCAATTGCTAGTGCTGCTGCTGCTGCTATTCTCACGTGCCTGTGTATCGTTATTCCGAGACACGCCTTTCGCGTATGAATTCACGGAGTAAGGAAACTTAGCAGTCTCCGCGCTGATCCCTCGAAGCGCCGCCGGGCAGTTAACAGGCAGAAAAGAGCCGCCGCCGGGTTCCCCTTCCTCCCTCCCAGTTAGAGGGCGCCGCCGGGAAAAAAAGGCCGCTTGGGCGAGCCTTGCCCGCTCTTCCTTCATGTCGTCGCCGCCGCCGCAACCGGCGGTCTTCTTCGAGCGGGAGCTGCCCCGGCGGGACGGCTCCGGGATCCTCCGGCTGACGCAGCGTTCGGCCGGCGGGACAGGCTCGGTGGTGTGGGATGCCGCACTGGTGCTGGCCCGCTTCCTGGAAAAGAGCGCGGCGCAAACAGGGCAAGACACAGAGCGGCGCGGCGGGAGTCCGGTGGCTTTTCTCCGCCACAAGGCCGTGCTCGAATTGGGCGCTGGCACCGGCCTCGTGGGCCTCGTGGCCGCTAGCCTCGGGTACGGGAGCGAGGGCAGGCAGGCGGGCGGGGGGGGGGATCCTGGGCTGCCGGCCCTCCCTGGCCGTCGCTGCGCCGCCTTTGGCCTCCTGCCCTGCGCTGGATGTTCTGTTGTGCCCTGGCGGAAAAAAGGGCAACATCAACGGGGCGTAAATTTTTATCTGTGGGGCTTCTGTGTGGCAAGCAGCTCTTACAGCCGCCCCGGGTTCCTCCTGATGGAAGCGGAAAGGGGATGATGTCTGCCTCGAGAGCCCTGCAGGCGCTGCTATCATCTAAAAGCCTTCCCTGTCAGAGATTATTACCAAGAAAGTTTTTCTTTAATCTTTTGGAAATGTATGTATGTATGTATTGATTGAGTGTTCACATTTCTGAACCTCCCGTCCACCTCAAAGAGGGACTCTACACAAGTAAGCTACTACTTTGAAAATGTACACCGTGGCTATTGAATAAATTCAACTTGGATAGGCTCACATTAAGGCATAAATAACTGCTTACAAATTGTAATGGCTGTATTAAAGTTAAGCAACAAGCAAGCCCACAATATGCTTTAGCATGCCAAGTGAACAGTTAATCACACATACAACACTGATGATGCAAAATTCCCTCTATATGTTTGCCATTGGAAGATGAGAGAGAGAGAGAGATTATTTTTCTTCTAGGACTGTAATAAAAAAGTTATTGCAATTATTTGAAAGTAAATCAGACTATATTTCACTTCTAATATTTTCCAGCTTAATTTTATGTAGTTCAATTGCCAGGAGAACTGGCTCTGCATTGCCTAATATATTCTTTGACAGGAATTTGCTGGACATGATTTGCTTTGACAGTTCAAACTTCTTAAAAATTGACATTGTGGAAGGGAGCCATGTTTGTGTACTGTGGCAAACCATCAGAAGGGATTCTGACAGCATCTTTTCTAACTAACACTTCTTATTAAAAGGCAAATCATTTTATCAGATACACACAAATCTAAATCTCATATTGGTATAGGCCAGTGTTTCTTAATCTTGGCAGCCTGAAGCTGTGTGGACTTCAGTTCCCAGAATTCCCCAGTAAGCATAGACAATTTGAGAAACCCTGATCCAGCCACTTTGTGCATTAGATGAAGTGAGCTGTGGCTCACGAAAGTTTATGCCTTTCAATCAAATCTGTTTAATCAGATAAAAGGTGCTACCATCCTTCAAAGAACTTGAGTGATGGGTTTTATGCTTTCATGCTGTGTTCTGTCTTGTATTGTTTGAATAACATTGGGGACCAGGAATACTACTAATATGTTTTCCTTCCACCTTTTTTGTAGAGCAAATGTTACTGTTACTGATTTGGAGGAAATTCAGGATTTATTAAAAGTGAACATTGAGAATAATCAACATCTTGTATCAGGTTCCATTCAAGCCAAGGTACTGAAATGGTTTGTATTAATTTTTTATTTAGTTTAAGAAATTGAGAATCAGACAGTTATGACATCAGCCTTAATAGAGTCTAGTTTTATTTTATTTATAAATCATATTTATAAACAGACAAGATTAACAAGAAAGATGAAATATTTTTGGCCTACCTCACTCTATAATAAAAGGATCTTGATAAATTATTGGAATGAATTATATATATTTAAAGTTATAGTACAAAGTATGATAAGACTTTGGAAAAAAATAAGTAAATGGATACATCAGGAGATGTGCATCTAACTGTATACTGCTTTGAGAAAATTGGCTAAAATTCAGGATCTATGTAAAATAATGAATCAAATGTTATTTCCATATTTTTTATTAGATTGATTAGATTTATATGGCCATCCATCTCATATAAAGCAACTCTGGGAGACTAATACAATACAAACACTGGAGTTGGATGGCCAATAAGTTTAAATTATTAATAATAACAACAATATTAATTGTTGTTGTTGTTAATTGCGAAGTCGTGTCCGACCCATCGCGACCCCATGGACAATGTTCCTCCAGGTCTTCCTGTCCTCTACCATCTTCTGGAGTCCATTTAAGTTCACACCTACTGCTTCAGTGACTCCATCCAGCCATCTCATTCTCTGTCGTCCCGTTCTTCTATTGCCCTCAATCTTTCCCAGCATTAGGCCCTTCTCCAGTGAGTCCTTCTCATTAGGTGGCCAAACTTTTTGAGTTTCAACTTCGGGATCTGGCCTTCTACAGAGCAGTCGGGGTTGATCTCTTCTAGGACTGATCGGTTTGAACGCCTTGCAGTCCAAGGCAATCGCAGGAGTCTTCTCCAGCACCATAGTTCAAAGGCCTCAATTCTTTGGCGCTCAGACTTTCTTATGGTCCAACTTTCACAGCCATACATTGCAACTGGGAAAACCATGGCCTGGACTATACGCGCTTTTGTTGGCAGGGTGATGTCTCTGCTTTTTAGTATGCTGTCTAGATTTGCCATAGCTTTCCTCCCCAGGAGCAAGCGTCTTTTAATTTCTTGGCTGCAGTCCCCATCTGAGGTGATCTTTGAGCCCAGAAAAATAAAATCTGTCACTACCTCCATTTCTTCCCCATCTATTTGCCAGGAATTGAGAGGGCCAGATGCCATGATTTTGGTTTTCTTAATGTTGAGTTTCAAGCCAACTTTTGCACTCTCCTTCTTCACCCGCATCAAGAGGCTCTTTAGTTCCTCTTCACTTTCTGCCATCAGCGTGGTATCATCTGCATATCTTAATAGAATAACTATATTATATAACTATAATATAACTATAATAACTATATTATATAACTATATAGTTATTCTATATTAATAGAATAACTAAATACTATAGTACACATCGGAAAAAAAATGATTGTTCATTATGTTAATCTATCTTCATGGTTTTAGGCTGGGTTACTTATTATATTTCCCCAGTGGTGTCCTGTTAGATTTGGTAGGAAAGGCCTATTCCAGGTGCCACCTGTAAGAGATGCCATGGAAAAGAGTCAGGAAAAAGAGTCTTTTCAGACAGGGCATCCACCCTCTGCAATATCACCCCTTCAGAGTAATTATGCCCTGGTCTTTTGCAAGACATTACAAACTTGGTTTTGCCCTCAAGCCTGAGGTCACAATAGTGTGGGTAAGCTTGTTTCTGGGTCATACTTCTATTAAATATAAGATGTTATAAGTGTTCTCTGCTGCTATCTTTTTATATTGTTTTTAATTGTGGTTATTTTTACTCTATTTTTAACTGTTAACCCCCAGAGACATGCATGTGAGATAGACAGCTATATAAACTACTTAAATAAGTAATCCTTAAGTCTTTACTCCTTGTATTCACATATTTAGGGGGGAGGATGTAACAGACTTTCTTCCTGCACCTGATTTCATATTGATGGCAGACTGCATCTACTATGACGAGGTAAACTGCATTCCATTAATATCAGTGGGTTAAGAATAGAGTTGAAGGCAGGCAAAGAATCTCTAGTCTTGTAATTGGGATTAAACTTGTGACATCCTTTGAACTGATTTTGATGCTGCAAGATCAGGGTAGATATGCCATAGTAAAATGATAATCGGGCTATTTTTTCTTTGTATAGTAGGATGACCTCGTGAATACCTTTGGGATTTTGACCAGCAAACTGAACATTTGAGTCTTAAGTTTTGCTATAAGATTTCTGAATGATTTTAAGGAACCCACTTTGCCCAAATTCTTTAAAATTGTATTTATTATGTTTTAAAAAACAACACTCTCCTTCCTTCAAAGAGCTAAGGTCCTTCATGCTTCTTGTAATTTCTGTGAGGTATATATAGGCAAAATGACAGTGACTAGCCCAGTGAGCTTCATAACTAAGTAAGATTTTGAATCCAGATCATCCAGTTCTGATCAGATGCTATACGTTTAGGACTACAACTCCCATAAACCTCACTCAGCTTGACAAATTATAGATGATTTTGAAAGCTGGAACACAGGCAGTTGGGAGTTTTTTCACAGAATGCTGTTCAAATATTTTGGATTGTTATTCTTTTTATTTATCCTTACTGGTAATAAAGCAACTTGTGTTCAGCCAACTGTGTCCATTTGGGGCAGCTTGCATTATTTCTTAGAAAATATTTTTTCTTGGGAAATCCTTGGATAAGTTTCCTTCTCAGGATTCTTCAAACTCTTCAAGAATATTCATCAGCTATCACCTATTTCATTCTGTGAATAAGATGGAGTGATGATTGTGGAACCAGCCCCTAATCGTAGAAAAGTGGTGGTTGTGTCCTGTTTCCTGAATTCCTTCATTACTTTTTTTAGCCATTAGTGTAAACTAACAGTACAGTTTCATTTTGTATTAACTGAGCTGAGGTTTCTTAGAATTTTTAGGAGCTATTTCCAAATAGCTATAAAAATTGTAGCCTTTCAATACCTCATGACTATCCTAGGTCTACATTCTGATCTTTTCTCTGAAATGCGTCTACTTGCACTTACTACTGCTATCTGCCTGGTAATTATCCCAAATAACTGAAAGTTTGAGAGGCCATCAAAAGAAATAACACCATATTTGCTAATACAGTGATCCAGTTGCTTGTATTCAGTTTTTTGAAGTACAAATTAGACTGAGCCATATATAAAGAGTGGGTGGAGACTAAATGTCAAATATTTAACTTTTACGGATAGTCACTAGAACCATTGGTTAAAACTCTGAGGGACTTGGCTGGCTTGGATACTTTCATCCTTTGCTGTTATGAAGAAAGGACTGTGGGACAAAACCCAGAAGTAGAGAAAAGATACTTTGAGGTGAGTCATATTAGAGCTTTTCTTGATTTGGAGGAATCAAATTTTTCTTGGGAGGGGGGGGTTTCCAAGAGTAGAAAGGCAGATTTTCAAAACCAGGATTGGTTTTGAATACTGAGTAATACTGAGTAATGATTTCATGCTTTCTATTGTTTCCTAAAACAGTCATAAGTAGCACAAATAGCATTTTGAGAATACTGTGGTATTTAAGAATTTATTCTGGTATAATTTTAAATCACAGCTTCTTCAGAGGGACTTTGAATTGCAAAAGGTTCCCTTGGATGAACATGATGAAGAATATCGGAGTGAAGACATTCATATCTTTATCATGCAGAAGAAAAAAATGGTAAGTGTTAGCCTTACTGGTTCTAGAAATGAGTTAAACATGTGTTCTAGATAACCAACCCATTTTCTTTCCTTGCAAACCGATTGAATAAAAATGACTTGAAACCCTGACTAAGTTTCAGAGTTGTCTACTTCAAATCAGATCCATCTTTATTCTAGTTATAGATCAGCATAAATTTGAAATCCTTTATCTCTTTTTTTTTAACCTGACTCTGAGTGGTTTAAAAATTGTTATAAATAAGAAAACACCACAAAACAAAAAAGAATAAAAATGCACTGATAAGATAAAATCAAATGGGAAACAAAAAAAGGAAGAAAAAGAAAAAAGGGGGCTTCACACATGCTTGTCAGAGGCCGAGGTGAAAAGCTGAGTTTTTAGGGTTCTTCGAAACACAAGTAGAGAGGGAGCCATTTGAATCTGTGGGGGAAACCTTATTCCAGAGGGCAGGCATTGCCCCACAGAAGGCACACTATGGATAAAATATTGTCCCAGTGCAGATACAATGCTCGCTAATTGTAATTAGCATCAATGCAAATTAACACAGGGCTGAGGGAAGAAATTGTGTAGCTTGTAATTATGGAAAGAAATTGTTTTTGGTTGTTAGATTCAGCCAAATGGTGTGCTACATTTTTCAGAATATTTCATCATGAAAACCGTGATGCTGTTATCTGACCTCTAATTTACAGAAGAACTCCGAAGAAAATTGGAAATTAAAGAATTTTTAATATATTTTCTGCAGAACATCTCTGCAGCCAGTATCAATATATTGTTTTATACTAAAATGATTTCAGGAAAAAAAATCAATTCTCTTGAAAAAGAGCTACAGGCTGAACAAGAAAGAGAAGGAAAAAGAAAGAAAACGAAAGAGAGAGAGAGAAAGAACCTCAGAATGTCAGATGAATAGTTTTGTATAATTATGCATAATATGCAATCCCTATTGGGCAAAATCGGTGTTAATATTAATATTTTATTAGAAAATTTATATATTAAAATTCTTGCTTCTATAACATTTAACTGGGCAAAATGGTGCATCGTAGGACAATAATTTTTGAACCAAGGTATCACAAATGGGCTTACCATCCTGCTGGGAAAGGAGGGGCAGGGAAAGGAGAAGAAAGGAAGGAAAGTAGGAATAAGAAGGGAAGAAACTCTCACACACCTTTCCTGGCCCATGCAGCCCCCTGCACTTTCCCCAGCCCATGTAGCACCTCTTGACCCTGACACATGTTCCCTGGCCTTTGCTACCCTCTCTGTATGCCTTTCCTGACCCACACAGTATCTTTTGCACCTCTCCCTTCACTCTCCCTGACCTGTGTCCCCCTGGTGTGCCTTCTCTGACCCATGCAGCATCTCTTGGGCATTCCTCCCACACCCTTCCTGACCCATGCTACCTCCCTGCACCACTCTTTACCTGCATGGCATTTCTCATGCCCATTCCTGATCAGCAACCCCCCACATTCTTCTTGACCCATACCACCTCCCTATGTACCCTTCTGCATGGCATTTCTTGCACCCATCCAGAGAGGCTTTCCAAACCACACAGCACCTCTCATGCATTCCCCACTTATCTGCTTGCTAGCCTTGGACTTGCAACTTCCTGCTGGCATCCCCATTGACTTTCTCTTTGCAAGCTTCCCACAAGTAAAGTAAATGGGGAAGCTGGCAGGAATTCTAGGGAGGAGGGAAGCAGGGAAGAAAATTACAGAGTGACATGGAGGGAGGGGGGAGCATTTCTGATCCTCCTTACCAGTTTCCTTACATGTAAACTCAATGGGGAAGCTGGCAGGAAGTCGGAAGTTGCTCTAGCTCTCACTGTGTTTTTGCCCGCCTGTGGTCATTCTGTTTCTCTGTTTAGTAAAGAAATATCTCTGAAAGAATGATCCAGCAAGTTACTGTCTAGTTTGTTATAAAGATGTAATTATTTATTAAACTGTTATTCCTATCTTAATACATCTTTGCATATTCACTGAACTGAACTGCGTAGTTTCAGATTTCTGCTTTTATTTCTTTTCTAATATATTCAAAAGAATATATTGAAAATATAGTCACAAAGAGAGACAAAAATTAAAAGGCAAAGTCTGCAGTGTCATTGGGTAACAGAGAGTTGTGTTTTTGTACAAAGGTGTATGTAATCTTCAAATTAATACTAAGCTGCCTAGTGCAATCCCACATGACGATTTGTTTATTTGTTTGTTTAGCAAATTTATGTGCTCACCTTGCGGTGCTGGTGTGGTCAATCACAATAATACTATATACTAGCAACATGTTTTATTTTGGAACTCAAGGCAAAAATGTACAAACAACCTGTGAGGTAGGTAGGGCTAAGAGAGTAACTAGCTCTAAGTTATCCAGAAAACTTTTTTAGATTATGATGGAATAGCACTTAGGTCTCCCCATAGCTTCAACACCTCTTGCTGTTTTTTTTAATTTGGCTCCCTGAAGACATCACAAATTCAACATAATGACCTGCAGGAAGAGCTAGACACACCCAAGTAGGCCTCTGCGAGAAACCAGGATCCTAAGAACCCATACAGACTTTTATCCTGCAAGCAGTCACACTCAACGTGCAGTGTCAGTAGGGAACCAATGTCTTCTGAATGAAGTCAGTGGCTGTAGAGTAGTGAGATTTAGCTGGCTTACATGCTGAGCTCCAATAATAAAGCCTGAAGAGAGTTAATGGGTTCTTACAGAACACAGATGTGCAACATCTATTGCTTTGGGCAAGTCCACAGCCAGCAAACAGAGCATTTCAGAAGACTTGTAGAGAAAGGGTTAAACTGATAATGTTTGAATTGCCACCCAAGGATTGTCTGCACACCACACTACTAATCCATGAGATAAAGCTAAAAAGGTGATAGTTGTGTAACATACACCAAAAGAAACTTCTTGCTTATTGTAATGCTGTGGGATGTGTACATAATATGAATTATGCATCCATACTGTGAATGTTTTGGGTTTGGCTTAATCATTGTAGTTTGTAAAGATGGTTTATATGTTTCAGCATGTTATGCAAACACTGGTTTTGTAACGGAATATAACTTGCTCGTAGTCAGCAAATCTACCTGCAAAAAAGCTGATGATATGTTCATTGTGAACCAGTCAATTTACCTGTTTAACCTGAGATTAGGAAATCATAATTGTTTTTCCCCCCTACTGGAATGAGATTTAATCCTGTTGGATTTAACTCCAGTCCCAGTTCACACTGAGTCCAGAAGATGAAAAAGATAAAGCATAAAGTCAAGCTCAGCTCCAGAATGCATTAATGTAGTGTTCTTGGCAACAATATGGAAATGGTTTGTGACACAGCGTTCTTCAGTTTCTTAACCAGTCCTACGGCACAGGTCTTCATGCAAGAATTATTGGATAATAATATACATAAAAATAACCTGATTCTTTTCTGCTCCAAAGCCAAAGTCAGCCAGGTACTGCCTGCCACTGCTGAGAACCTGCAACGCAGGGTGTGAAAATTAAGTATTTGTTGGATAGCAAACTTCTCCAATGCCAGAAGGAGGCAGTATAAGACAGAAGACTTATTGTAGCCTTCTCCCAGACTAGCACATAAATTTTCCATAGAAATGTGTATATCCAGTGCTTTACAAACATTTACAATTCACATCACATCTACCACGATAAATTACATCTACAGTAGCATTCTAGCAATTGTGTTTGATATAGCTGTTGACGATGTTCACAATCACAAGACAGTGAGCAAAGAAGGAATAAGTATTCAAACTAAGCTTGTGGTGTAAGCATCTTTTTCAGAGCCATTGTCAGAGCTGTTTCTGTGTTTTAGATTTTTTTCAAGATAGTGTTCTATACATAAAACCTGAATCCACATATTGCATCAAGCTATGGTTTGTCAAACAAACTAGAGTGTCCTAGTTGGCACATCTAAAGACATGAAACTTCAGAAAAGACAATAGTCATGTTCAAAAAACCCAGTTTGGTTTGGTGGTTCAGGCACCAGGCTAGAAACTGGGAGATGGATTCTAATCCTGCTTTAGGTCCAAAGCCAGCTGGATGATCTTGGACCATCGGTCTCTCTCTCTCAGCCCTAGGAAGGAGAAGGCAAGAAAACTGCATAGCCTAGTCTAGGCAATCATCTGGAGTCAACACTCAAAGGAAAAAAGCCATGAATCATAGTTTATGCAACATGTTAGTTGCCAAGTTCAAGACAGCCACAAAATAAAAAAAAACATTGCGCAAACTTGTTACAGTTCTGCAGAAGTGATTATGACAGCATGGGACGGATTGGTGAAGGCAGATCTATTAAAATGCATAAAGTAATATGACTAGAATCAAACTAAACTATAATGTAGATTAGATATAGATCTGATCAGGATAAATTAAAAGAGTGAAATATGAATTACATTTTATTTAGTTTTTGCCTTTTTCCTCATTTTATTAATGTGTCATCTTACTATTGCTTTCTATTTTGCATTTTGATGTTGCCTCACAGACAATCAAATGATAATCCCCCAAAATGATAATCCCCCAGCGAGGCACTACCATAACGTGGTTGTGGGGCTTGCGTACTCCAAGGAAGCTGAGAAATACACACCAGAGGCTCAATCATACTGGACAGGTCTCATCAGAGAAGTCAGATGAAGAGTGACTCTCCCCTTAAATAATATGGAGAGACACAATTTACAAAAACCTATACAGGATCAGTCATCACCCAGTCAACAAGGACTGTACTAAGGTCTGGAGTTCCTGGAAATTGCTGACAAATCGGCTAAAGGTGCAGGCCCATTGGCTGAGTAACCAGGGCCAGCAGCTGCAGATCTACTGGAAAAAAAGTTATCTACCTGTCTCAAGTGTACAAAGACTGAAAAGAAATAATCATTTGATATTCCAAATCAAGGATACCTGCAAAGAATACACCAGGTCTGGAAAGAACAATATCCAAAATCAGAAACAACAGAAAAACTCTAGCAGATCAACCTAGATTTATAATATGAAATAAATTCACAGTATTTACAGAAGCAGAATTGAAAGACTTGCAGAGGACTACCCAGGTCAAAGAAATCAAAGTCTTGCCAGAAGTACTCGTAATATTTTCACTTAGCACTATGTCTTTTTCAACTTTTTCTCGAGCAATTAATCCAAAGGACACCATGTTGGAGAACTCTGATCTAAAATGCATTGACTCTCACCTGGTGACCTTCCACTGTTAGGGAGCTGATCCAGAGAAACCTGTTCCCAGGAATTCAGGACTGATGCCACAACAGACAAGAGAGCTTTTCCAAGTTTGACTGCTGTCCTGTTGGACACAAGGATTTTAAACCAGTTTGAGTATATTCTGGCAGCTCTATGTTCCTTTAAAAATCAAAGGATATATGTGATGGGTTGACAATCCTGTTGGTAGATTTATAGTTCCCACCACCCCTTCTTCTGCTGTCTGTAATTAGATTATTGTAGCACCTTAAATAATTAATATCTTGTGAACTGGACAGTCCTTTTACTATAAAATCTTTTAGGCTTCAAGGAGCTACAAGAATTATTATTGTTTTTCTTGCACAGAATTAACCATCTGGAAATAAGTTAAGCCTGCTGGGTTAAGGATGTGATTTTTCAAATGTCTGCCACACTTGAGTGCCAAAAGCCTCTCCGTTCTCATATTCTTGGTGAGACATATGAGAAATTTGGTTCAATAATCTTAACAGAAGGCAATTTTTCAATACTGTGGGTAAATCATACAGGTAGTCCTCGACTTATAACCACAATTGACCCCAAAATTTCCATGGCTAAGCAAGGCACTTGTTAAGTGAGTCTTGCCCCATTTTATGATCTTTTCTAACAGTTGTTAAGTGAATCATGCGGGATATTAAGCAAATCTGGCTTCCCCCATTGACCTTGCTTGTCAGAGGTCAGCTGAGAAGGTTACAAGCAATTCCCACATGACTCCAGGATAGTGCAGCTGTCACAAAAGCATACCATTTGCCAAGCGCCCGAATTTTGATCACGTGACCGTGGGGATGCTGCGATGATCATAAGTGTGAAAAACAGTCATAAGTCATTTCAGTGCCATTGTAACTTTGAACAGCCACTAACAAATGGTCGGCAGTTGAAGACTACCTGTAGTTCAATGGTTTTCAAGTAATGCTTGCAGGATTTCTGAAGTTATTTGGGAAATTTATCAGATTCTGTGTCACGCAGCAGCGAATTACAATATCTTCAAAGGTAGAATGGCTTCTCCTTACTCCCCAAATCCTGGCTCTCCTTGTAGCATGTAGCAACAGAAGCCATCCCTTTGGGAGCAAGGCATGCTGGTCAAACTCTGGAACATAATAAGTTCCGGCAGGGTGCAATTGTCAGCAGGCAGTTGGGTGGGCAAAAGCCTGCCAAACTGGCAAAAGGTTTGCAATTTGCTGCCATAGATGAATTACTGCAATGGCTCTTTACTAGCTTTTGGCCATCAACACTTGGTAGCAAAGAAAACATCAAGGGTTTACTGAATGGAAAATGTTAGATACTGCAGAACTGGATACATAGAAGTGGCACATCAGTCTTTCCATGCTGTGTCCTCCCAAGCTTGCTGGTCTCTGTTTAATTGGGAAAACTGAGCAACATGTTATATTAAGTGCTACCAGTTAAGTCCACCTCTGAAATTATGCATGAGCTCTTTGTTTACTCAAGCTTTGTTCTCAGCATAATTCCAGTGATGGAAACATGCATCATGCTAAGCCGTAATATGAAATGCTGGATTTTGGCTCAACAGGATATATGTAAGCAGTTATTCTGGTTTCTAAACCATGGTGTATGACTTAGTGTTTTCTGTGAACAAACTACCAAGCTTATTTTCCAAGCCATTATGAAACCCAGTTTTATAATGTAACTTTGGGTATGTTTCTGTTGTAAAGTAAAAAAAGCATGTGGTTGCAATAGTCCATTTACCACATTTTCAAACCTCTTATTTTTCCTTACAAGTGCTTGTCTCTTAAACCCCTTTCCCCATCTCTTGCTCCTTGGATCATGTGACCCCAGACAAAGTTACATGTTGTGGTTCAAAAAGAAAGACTAATCAAATTTGCTGCACCAGCCCGGGTCTCTTAGAGAGGGAGACTGGAATTCTTTTGAACAGGTAGGGTCAGTGTGACATAGTGATTAAGGTGCTAGACCGGTGTTTTTCAAACTTGGTAACCTTAAGATGACTTTATTTCAACTTCCAGAATCCTCAGCATAGTGGCTGAGGAATTTTGAGAGTTGGTCCAGAGACCTTAAAGTTGGCAAGGTTGAGAAACACTGTGCTAGAGTGAGATCAGGGAGACTAAGAGTTGAATCCTCCCTTAACCATGGAGAATAACTTTGGATATATTGCTATTTTCAGTCACAATCTGCCTCGCAGGATACTTTTGGAGATAAATGAGAGACTCAGATATGCCACTAAGTTCCTGGAAGGAAGCCAGGTTAATAATAGTAACTAGCCACATCTGGATAAGGAAACAGTAAATGGCTGAACTTCTTCCATTATTTGTACACAAACTCTTTTTGCCAACTTGAAATGCTTTGCAACAACAAAGTCATTTAGATTCAGTGGTTAAAAAAAAGAAAAGAAAGGAAGGTAACTTTGCTATTAAAAGTGATTCTAAGGTACATCTTGAATGAAAGAAGCTTCCTTTTCTCCAACCCACCCCCAGTTTCCTTCCTGATCCCATGAGATAGTGCTGTCTGCCTTGTCTGTCTGAATTTGTATGCTAAGAGAATGGTGTAACGATCCTTTCCATTGTTCTAGGTTTGTTAACAAGGCATATACAAGATGGAGTAATGGCAAGGCCTAATCACAGTAAAATGAGAGGAGATACGTTTTGACAGATCATTAGATCAATGTTAAAATTCACTCCGATTTTTTGCAAAGATTTTGCATGGATACAGTTGAATTATTTATCAGTTATTACATGATATCAGCTGACAGGTTTAGTACTATTCCAAAACAAGGCTAAAATTTTCAAAACTGTTGGCAGGGGCATGGAGAGCTGCAACACAAAGCAGCATAAAATTGTCTTCTATATGTTATTTGGTAACTAGCTATCATCACAGCTGGCCAGCTGCAATTCTCAGGCTGAGTCTGATATCCAAGTGAGAAATTGGCATAAGGATCTGGCAGGTATAAAGAGGCAGTCTGATTTGAAAGAAATGGACTGTCTGGTTTGGTACAACAACCAAACAGGACAGGTACAGGCTCCAATGGATAGTTAAAACTGCAGAAACAATTGCAACCAGCCTGCCTTCCATAGAAGACCTGTATATTCAGCCATCACTCTGCTGAACACCTAATTCTTGCAATACAGTCTTACATTTAAGTACATTTACCCATGTTGTTTGGCTGTAGTATTATCCTTTTTATGTTCTTTATTACCCCTTCTTACTGATATTATTGTTATTATTATCATGCTTATTCTACTCTGTTGTTTGCATGTACACTGGGAATTTCTGTACCAGAGACAAATTCCTTGTTTGTCTAATAACATTTGGCCAAATAAAGCTACCCTATCCTATCATATTCTGCTCTTGCTACTCAGAATACCTTTGGAAGGGTTGGAGCAGAAAGATGCCTGTACCAGCCTAAAATGGGTTCAGCTAATAAACTAATCTCACTCATAAAAGTCCCCTGACTGTGGCATCAACAGAAAGTTCATGAAGCATGTCACGCTGTATCCACACTAAAACCTGTGTTGGAATCAGCAGCATCTAGAGCTAACTTCAGTAATACCAAAATGATATATGCACAGTGACATCATTACACAAATATACCTACACTTAACATAATTTTCAACATTTATATAATTATATAGTCATTTGTTCCTCTTGCCCCAGTCCTTTGCATGACCATGATTGGAATAAGAAGGAAAAACATTCCTTCAGACTCACTCAAAAAGTCAATCATGCTGGGAGTGAACAGAAAAAGAAGGGATCACCCTAGTACCCATTGGCTGAACACTATACACTAGGATGACCATGGCAGATCTGAAGGAGGCGATGTGAGACGGGCATGGAGAGTGCTGGTCCATAGAGTGGTTGAGGATCAGACATGACTGAATGGTTAACAACGATGATAATTCCTTCAGTAATGGTACACCTAAGGACCATCTAGGATGGGATTAGATGAAGGCAACAATATGACAAGGTAGAAATTTGGGCAGATTTGTGCTGCAGTGAAGATGCAAATGAGAAAGAGCTTCTACCCACATTTATCTAGTTAAATTGGCAAAACAGCCCAAGATACAGCATTCCTATGGACATGAACATTAATGTGGTGGAAAGCTAATGCTGGATGCATCTAATGTGAATTCAGGACTCTACATAACTGTGAAGTTCATTACAAGGCAAATTTGTAACCCAAAGATTTGAATATTTCCATTTATCTTTTCACACAACTGAACTTCTTAAGGTTAAATAAGTGGAATTCTACCAAAAACACTATTTTCATACAAGGACCTCCACCCTCTGTGGCCCTATATTTGGGCATTAAAGGTGACCTGGAAAATCAGGCCTGCTTGTTAGCTATGTATGACCTCTGCCCCTGTCACCATGAGCTTGATGTGGAAAGACTTCTGAGAATCCCATGAATTCACTAGACAAATAGTATTGACAAACTATACATCCACGTTGTATGCAGTTTCCTGGCATGTTATTGAAGAGGTTTGTTATTAACTTCATCTTGGATGTTTTGTCCAATCTAGTCAACAATTCCCAAGTGATCTTTCTCCAAATTTTACCCAGGGACAATTCTGCTTAGTTTCCAAAATTAGCAAAATACTCTACCACTTACACTGGAGGGATCATGCACAATCTAACTGCTAAAACAATATCTTGGCCAAAGCATGTATACTTTGTTGAACAGAAGGATAGGGAGGGGAGGAAGAGGAGGAGGAGAAGTGGGATAGAATGGGGACGAGACGACTCTTGATTGCTATAGTCTACATTCTCCCAAATGCAGCTTTCTTTTTCAGTATCAGCTATCAGTGATGGCAATACTACCAACAGCAGGTATTCACTGTGTCTGACGCCTCTGGTTGATGTCTGGCTGACAGGATGCTGAGATAGCTGGATCGTTGGCCTGGACCTACCAAGGCTGAGTCCAGTGCTCTTTTCCTATTTTGTTGCCTTTTTTTATGGTACAGTATTCTATTCTGTCTGAGCTGGAATTTGCTGTCAGTGCAATATTGTTACAGTTCCCTGTCAAAGACGGTTGCATTAGGTCACCTGAGTATTGATAAAGACAAACAAGGGCAAGTGGGTGGGGCAGATGAAAAAACTTGCTTTGATTCAACAAGCTGTATGTAACCTCTCTGAATTTGCCCAGAGATGAAAAGGAGCCCCTGAATTAAGTGGGATATGGCCTTCTAAGAAAAGTTTAGGGAACACAGCAGGATGTTTGGTAATGGCCAGACGTGGAAAAGCTACTAGTTGAATATTAACTGCATACAACAGTTTTACTCATCTTGTACCATTGCACCATAAAATTAAAAGCGTAACAGCAACTTTCTAAGTTAGGTTTGCAATTGCATTCCACTTTAAAATCTAACCGCTAAAAAACTGATCAGATATTTGCTTTTTTTGCTCTGCTTGATGTAATAGTAACAGCTAATAGTAGGGGTATATAAACACCCATTAAAATAATAGAGCTGGCATCCTCTGGGGAATTGGTAGTGCTACTCCTACAGTCTGGAATTTTCCTTTATTAAGTAAGAATAGAGCCCACCCCATCTGTGCCTGCAAAAGAGACATGCTCCGGGCCCTACCAGCCAGGATAGTCCGGCTGGCAGGGACCAGGAGAAGAACTTTTTCTGCCATTGTGCCTGCCCTTTGAAACATCCTGCCCCCAAGACTGAGGTTGGCTCTCACCCTTCTTACCTTCCGTAAGAACTTAAAGACTTGGCTCTGCCAGTTGGCTTGGGGCTCCAACGGAGAGATTTTATATTGGCATTGCTGATAGATTAACAACAGATACCCCCCCCCTTCTCCTCATAATTCCTCCCCTCATCTTTTTAGCAAGGTTGATTTTTATATACTTATATTTTTATTTATTTATTTATTTCATATATTTATTTATATATTATAGTTTTATCTTTTAATATTGTATGCCACCCGGAGTTGCTGTGTGGCAAGATGGACAGCTAATAAATCTTACAAATTAACAAATAAATAAGAAGGCTGCAGGATTGATAGAAAGGTGTAGTAGTGCAATGGCAAAATAAATGAACCATGTTTATGTGTGAAAACATCCAGGTTCGATCCCTGGCATTCCTTAGCCAAAACCTTGGAGAGTCATTGGAAATCAGGATAAGTGGTATGAACTGTATGGAAAAAAGTTTTCCTTAAATCTGGTTCTCCTTTGCCATTATCAGTTTGTGTTTTTAATATGTCCTTAACTTATTTACAACAATTATTAGTCTCTGCAAAGCCTTTCATTGTTTCTGCAGAGAAATGTCTGTGTAATAGTAGAGAATTTAAGTCTTAACTTGAATCATTTTGGGTGTGTGCCTTTTGGCAACTATCTGGACAAGCCCACATAGTTTTTGTGACTATAATTTCAGAAGAGGTTTCCATTACTGCCTTCTTAGGGATAAGAGTGATGACTGGCCAAAGGTAACCAACTGGTTTCATATCTAAGGCAGGAGTAAAACTCACAGTTTTTCAGTTGTTACTGGTGCCTTTTATCACAATATTAATTTCACTTGAATCGAGAAGTAATATAAGACTATCTTTTGACTCTTTATTCTTGTGTGAAAAGTGACAAATTGGAGATCTAGTAAGTTAGGAAAGGAAATCTCCTTGCAAGATATACTTTTGACAACAAATGTTCTGGAGGGAATAATTTCTTCCAAGCTAAGAAACAAAACTTATGCAAGCCCATGCTTTCTATGTCAAGAAACGTATCTTCAGTGGAATGCAAGAGTGAGTTTTGAAAACTTCATACACACACACACACACACACACACACACAACTTAAGAACATATGAGTACTACATTTAAGAACATATGAGTAGGGCCAGAGATTATACTGTTCTTGAACATGAGAAATTTAAAACTATCAGGAAAGGGCTTGGTCTGACAGACTTCCATTTCCCAAATTGAGCTCATCTGCCCTCAAAGTCAATGAACTGAATAGCCTTACATTCTGAAGAGGCCCCATGACATTCTGCATATCTATTCAATTTTAACTCTGAGACCCTGAATTCTGGGGTAATACCGGTAGTAGAGAGAGTGAGTAACTGGCTCATCTTTACCAGAATCAGAATTCATGAAATGACTGCTGAGCTGTTTCTGCTGCTGGCAGCAGTTTAACATTTTGTTCTGCTTTGTAAGTTTAAATTGGCTGGTTGATGGATGCCTTAATGTACTGTTAACCTGCCCAGGGCCTTCAGGATTGAACAGGCTATGAATTTAAAGATTAATTATAGACATTAGAAGACCAACATATTTGTTGGAAAGCCAGCCATTATCAACCACTGCAGAATGCTTTCACTGAGGATAGCAGCTGTAATCCTCCTGGCAAATTTGTTTTCATGCCACGATGGGTAAGGAAATTAGTAGTACTTTTGAAACCTCAGTGATTATAGTGGATTTATAAAAGGGTTTAATAGAACCATGTTGCAACATGAAAAATATCTGTACTGTGCTACAGCCAGCTAATGAGGAAGAACCCAGTTGTTTTCTTGCAACATTTACATGCCCATCTCTTCAGCCTGAAAATTCCGAGAATTTGATAACAGCAGAAATGGCGCACTGCATCAGACCAAAGGCCTCTCTAGTGCACCACTCTATATCCGCAATGGTAAACCAGAGGATTCTGGGAACCCTACAGTACTATAAACAAAAACAGGACTGCATCATGCATGGATCCTAATACTGGAAAATTATGCTGGGTAATTTCAGTTTAGTTTGCACCAATACAATGCCTGTCTCCAAATCAGAGTAATCACATACACCCCGTTCTGGTTAGCTAGCAAAATTATAGATTGATGTTTATTTATTAATCATCAGCAAACATCAAAAACAGTTAACTACCAAAACAGTAACAATTCTGAAGATGAGGATTATATCTCCAACACTAAGTAGCTGAACTTGAAAGTAGTTTATAGTCATCAAGGTGGGTGGACTTATCTTTCACAAAATGGCTCAACCTGCTTTTAAAGTCATCCAATTGGTGCCCATAACTATATGCCCAAGTAGATTACCATCTGGACAAAACATAACAAGGCACATTTCCTGATAATAATGCTAGTAGAATAGTGTACGAATCCATCCAAACATTGTTTGCAATTTTGATAGTATTTTCAAAACTGACGAGTGCACAAAGATGATTGTGTGAAAAAAGCTTTTATATCAGCCCTTCAGGGTAGATCCAGAACCAAGGACATGAAGTATGTCTATGAGTTTTCTTTATTACAGCATGGTAGAATAACAAACAATGCCTGCCCAAGTTTCTCTTTGTCCCATTTCATATTAAAAAAAATTATTCTGGGTTTCTTTCTGATCTTCCTTTTTCTCAAGACTAAGTAATCTTTCTCAAAGATTTAGCAGCTCGCTCATTTCTTCTCTGTCCCTGAGATCAGCTCTACATTCCCTCCCATTATGCAATTCATACTTTTTGCCACACATTTCAGTTCTTTTGATTATGTACCATCAAACCAGTGTTGACTCTTAGCAACCACCTAGGTAGACATTGTACAGTTTTATAATTAAATGCACACTTTCACTTCCCTATATGTATTGATAACATTTTAACTGTGATTAAGCAGTTAGAAAATGTTATATTAACAAATATAATGCTTTCTATGGTGGCCAAGGACCATAGGAGAAAACATTTGGTGTAGGGATTAGGGTTCTGGCCTACAGACTAGGAGACTATGACTTCTAGACTTGCCTTAGGCATGAAAGCTGAGTGAATTTGGGCCAGTTACTCTCAACCCAATCCAGTTCTCAGTTCATTATGGAGAAAACAGGAGGTAGGAATATTAGGTATGTTCATGCCTTGAGTATGTGTGTCTGCGTGTATGTGTAGGAGCGTAAATGTATTTTTCTCCTCTTTCATTTAATCATGTCTGATTCTGACAGACTGCCTTTTTTCCAGAAGTGGTTTGCCATTGCCTCCTTTCTAGGCTGAGAGAGAGGAATTGGCCCAGGGTCACGCAGCTGACTTCATGGGACTAGAAGCTCCTGGTTTGTAGCCTGGTGCCTTAACCACTATACCAAACTGGTGGCGTGTGTGTGTGAGTATTTACACTGGAGAAGTGCAGCTGGATGATAATCAAGTGAGGGAAAGCAGTTAGGATTGATGGTATGGAACTCCCTGTGAGTCACAGAGCAGACATACTGACCACTTATAAATACCTTGATACCCCAAAGTCATATGGGAACCACAACAAGGACACAAGGTAAATAGCAATATCCAAGTATCATCAAAAAAACAAGACAAGTCCTGAAGAGGTAACTCAATGGGAAGAACAAAAACCATGCCATCAACATATATGCCTGCCAGTTATCAGCTATCCTGATGATATAGTGAGCTGGCCAAAGAAAGACCATCTGCCAATGTGAAGACACAGAAGCTCCTTACAAAGTACGGAGATTTCCATCCCAAGTCTAAAACTCAGAGACTGTCCATCAGCTCTAAAGAGGGAGGGCAGGGTCTGGTGACTGTCAAAGCCACTGTCATGAATAAAAACCAGAGCATCCAGGAAAACATCAGTAGGATGGTACCTAAGCTCTTGAGAGAATACCTAGAGCAGCAGTAGACATGGGAAAAAGATCAAGCAAAGTAAGTGCCTTTACAAGACCCTGCATAGGATGTATCATTGACAGATAGCTGAGATAGTAGACATTGGGAAACTAGGTATCACCATCAGATAGATTCATAACTGGCTGACCAACCACACTCAGTATGTAGTCCTCAGTGGAACTGCATCTACATGGAGGGAAGTATGCCATTGGGTACCCCAAGGCTCTCTACTCGTCGACATCTTCAGCAATTATTTGGGTGAGGGAATAAATGGGGAATTCATTAAATTTACAGACAATACCAAGCTGGCAAGAATAGCCAATACTCCAGAAGATAGGCTTAAGATACAGGAGGATCTTGACAGACTTGAACACTGGTTGCTATCTAACAAAATGAAATTCAATAGTGAAAAAAGTAAGGTTCTACATTTAGGCAAGAAAAATCAAATGCACAGGTACAGTATAGGTGGTACCTTGCTCAATAGTAGTAACTATGAGAAGGATCTTTGAGTTCTAGTGCACAATCACTTAAATATGAGCCAGCAGTGTGTTGCAGTTACCAAAAAAGCCAACAAAGTTCTAGGCTGCATTAAAAGAGGGATAGAATCAAGATCACATGAAGTGTTAATACCACTTTACAATGCCTTGGTAAGGCCACACTTGGAATACGGCATCCAGTTTTAGTCACCATGATGTAAAAAAGATGTTGAGACTCTAGAAAGAGTACAGAGAAGAACAACAAAGATGATCAGGGGACTGGAGGCTAAAACATAAAGAACAGTTGCTGGAATTGGGTATGTCTAGTTTAATGAAAAGAAGGATAGAGGTGACATGATAGCAGAGTCAAGCTATTCTCCAAAGCACCTGAAGGCAGGACAAGAAGCAATGGATGGAAACTAATCAAGGAGAGAAGCAACCTAGAACTAAGGAGAAATTTCCTGACATTTAGAACAATTAATCAGTGGAACAACTTACCTCCAGAAGTTGTGAATGCCCCAACACTGGAAGTTTTTAAGAAGAGATTGGACAACCATTTGTCTGAAATGGTATAGGGTTTCTTGCCCAAGCAGGGGTTTAGACTGGAAGACCTCCAAGGTCTCTTCTAACTCTGCTATTCTATTCTGTTCTATTCTATTCTATTCTATTCTATTCTGTTCTGTTCTGTTCTGTTCTATTTCTATTGTTCTGTTCTATTTCTATTCTGTTCTGTTCTGTTCTACTCTACTCTACTCTGGCTAAAAAGAGCTGGACTAAAAGAAAGGACTTAGGCATTGATCATAGCAACACAAGAAAAGGCACCAAGAAACAGATCCATAGAAGAGCAGGAATCTACCACGCATGATAGGACCCGAGATGCAGACAATGCAGAAAGGCCTTAGAGACAGTCCAACACATAGTGGCAGGATGTAAGATGCAGGCAGATACACTGAATGGTACAATCAAGTTGCTACTATTGTGTACACAGGAACATCTGTAGAATGAATGAAATAGACATTCCCAAATCCAGATTGGAGAGTCCACAGAAGGTTGTGGAGAATAAGAGGTCTAAGATCCTGTGGGACTTTCAGATCCCGACAGATAGGCAGGATAGGGAGAAACTGAAGAAATACCACAGCCTGAAGGGAGAACTAGATAGGATGTAGAAAGTAAAGGTCAAAGTGGTCCCAATGATGTTAGGAGCACTTGAGGATGTGTAAGCGTGACTCCAACTGATTCCAGGAATGATACCTGAGCAAGAACAGCTAAGATGCTATTCTTAAACTCTCAAGATCTCAGACTGGTAGAGGATCTGAAATTGAGAAAGATACATACCAGGATAAAAACATCATTCCGAGATGGATTGCCTCTGTACTTGGAAAATCCCTATAGCTTCCTGCTGGACCTTCTTCTGAAACTTACCTGATCTCTTTACAGCTAAGAGAGGTGCCACCACCATATGTTGTAATAATGAATGCTGCATTAATTAGTTGTTGGGCAAAGTTCTGCTTCCCTTTATCTATAGAAAAAAAAATTCTCTATCTAGGTTTTCCTAACTTGATATCCTCCAGATGGTCTATATAGATGGCCAAAATCCAATGACAATATGAATCTGAAGCCCAGCTCAATAGAAGATATTATGGAAAAAGCCTATTTGTACTCACAGTGCCTATTTCTCTGCCCACATTTTTCAGTTAAGAAAAAAAAAAAACAAATGAAAAAGCACAAGAGCAACTTAAAACAGAGACATACAACCAAGGATGCATGCAGGGCTTCAGAGCTTTTCTGTGTTGGATCTAAGGTTTCCCGTGACCGCAACAGCCAAAAATTAGTGGTTTAGGCTTCTACCATGTATAGATGAGAAACACACACAAACAAACTGTAATGGAGTTTTTAAAATAGCTGAAGAAAAAAAATAGTTTTCCATAAATACAAACAATCCCTGCATTGCCCAACTGTTTGATACAGTTGCATAATTGTTCCACCCACAGTGACCTTCACTACCTACCAATGTTGAGAGTGATCATTAACTACTAAAAAGTTGCTACCTTGGTTTAAAAGCTACTTACTTAAAAAACTTCCTCTACCCATTTGGTGGTTTTAACCAAACATTCATAAATACATACATTTTAAGCTATGATACTTACCTTTTACTTAATGCTGTATTTTTAAAACAAGGCTCCCACCCTCATGAATCCAAAGGTAAGTTTTAAAGTGTGCAGCTAATGCCTGGAAGCTCACTGGGAAATTCAGTGGCTCACATTACTAATTGTCTAACTGTCTAACTGTCGATATTTGAGACTAATCTGTAAATCTCCATATTCGATCGATGCCGATCCGATCCGTTGCATGTGATGTGACGTATTTGTATTTGACATGACGATTTGTCAAGGCTCAGTACAGTGCGGCGAGACACGATTATGAGACGCATGTGCTCCGCACAGGAGAATTGTTTTGAGAGACTGCGCTGCGCACAAGTGGCTTTGTTTACTTCTTACTGAAACACGACACAGCACACAAGCACGCATTAGACTCACTTCTTTCTCAGTGAATATTCAATCATACACAGGTGAGCACAATAATTCACGTTTTATTAATTCATTATCTATTTAATAATTTCCAAATATGTATCATTTTATTTACAAGTTTATTTGCTTATGTTATTGTTTCAGTTTTAATAATTAATTTTATTTATTCATATTTTTTTTCTTCAATTTATTTGTGTCCTCCTTCTCATTGTAAAAAAGTTGGTTACCTTACTAACTGCAGAGGAAAATACATAAATTAGACTTTAAAAGTCATTCCAAAGTAGTTCTATGGCAAGAAGGTATGTTATCTCCTGATGGGTATCGATCCATTTTAGATCCTTTGCCTTTATTTCTTTGCTGCCTGCTTTGCTAAAGCACTTTGCCTTTCTGATATGGGCTGCAGATGGACATTAAGCAAGCAATTGGGCCAATCTGAGCATGACATCTCACACAGCAATTGCCAGGCACTTTGCAAATTCTCTGTTCACTGAAGCTGCTAAATGAACAAATCTTGAAAATGCCAGCCAATTGGCATTCACTTTGCTGTTTCAGAGACAGGCTGCATCTACACCCCCAATTTCAGATCTTAATAATTCAGGCTCAAATGTTTTCAAAAACAAGAGAAACTCAATAAACCCTGAATTGACAGATTTGTCTATTCAGAATCCCTACATATGTTCAGTTATGTAAAAGGCTTTAAGTTTAAGATAATGAAGCTGGCAAATGAAAAATATCTCTCATATGTACTTTAAAATAATTACAGATGAACTTTACCAAACTTCAGTGAAGCTTCACACTTGTTTAGGAATTAAGCTAATTATCTTCTAATGAATGCTTTCCCTTGTAGTGGCCCTCCCAATAACACAGTTGATAACATTCAAGAAATGCTTTAAAAAGTAATACTGGAACAGAGATGAAAAAGTGTTGAGGGGACACACTTTTGCCTTTAGAATATATGCATATTATATCTCAAATTTCTTCTTAAACGTGGGCATTTTATCAGGTCAGATTTCATAAATGAGCTTAGAAGAGCTAAAAAAAAAAATGGAATATATCCCATGATAATTGCAGGCCTAGTAGCAAAGACTCAATGAGCTTGAAAAAAATTACTTCTTTGATTTGCCAGTGTCTGCATCTCTTCTTTCATTCATGTATATGTCTTTAAGTTACTTGTAGAATCTTGACTCAGCACTTCCATCTCTCTACAGAAATTCCTTGAAGCCTTCTGCCAAGAAACTAAAGGAACGCAAAAGCATAATATACACACTTATTTGGCCATGGAAAGGGTTCTGATGATGGCAGATTTTGAAGGTAACTCTCTCTGGGCCAGATTTAGAGAGGGGGAATTGTTCAAACAGTTCAAAATGAAAGAGTAGTAAAGTGCTGATGTCCTGCTATGGATTGTATAAATTCAGGTTAAAAGTGGGATTTCCACTTTTGAACATTCTCTGAAATTAAACAAAATAAAAACAAGCAACTCCCTACAAATATATCTTTTAAAACACATACACCTAGCAGTTGTAACTTTTTCCTATCTTTATTAGTATTCTAGTGGGTTTTTTTAATATTTAAATGTTGCCTTGGCTTCCACAATGAAGAGGTAATGGCCCTCCATTACTTCACGCCTCAGAACAGCTCAGCCTAGAAAGAAGGTTGGTGATGAACAAAGTATTGGGGCTTCAGAGGACACCAAGGTTAATTCTGAGAAAGGAGAAGCCTGTAAATATTTCTTTTTTTATTTAAAAGTTTTACAAATTTATTACAATATAAACCCCCCACCCCTTCCCCCCTCCCCCGCTTCCCAGAGCTGATTACAGGGTAAAAAATAAAATAAACAAACATAATCTAACTAACATAAACCAACTATACTATCAATCAAAACCATAACACACTTTAACTCCTTCTCCAAACAAATATTAACAAATTAAGTCAAAAATAATAAGATAATTAAAACTAATAATAATTATCTAAGATGTACTCAAAAGCAAGATAATACTTTTCAATCTCATATTTCTTCTGAATGTAATCAATCCATCTTCTCCAAACCATAATATATTTTTCTTGTGAATGATCCTTCAAACAGGTGGAGATTTTCGCCATTTCTGCTAAATTAGACACTTTAAGTATCCATTCTTCCAGAGTAGGCAATAAGTTTTTCTTCCAATATTGCCCCACCAATAATCTTGCATCTGTTATAAGGTTCAACATCAAATTAGTTTCTTTAACATCAAAATCTATAGTAATACCCAACAAAAATAATTGTCTGTAAATATTTCAATGTGATCTGCCCACCCACATCTGTCCTGAAACACTGAACTGGATATTCTTAAAACATGCATGCTTTTTCTTTTAAGAAAGCTAATTAATCATGGAATATATTCACCCCATAAATATAAAACTAAATCATTTTTGTTCCTGTTCCTCACTCTTGTAACATAGATTGTGTTCACCATAACTGCATCTTTATTCTCAGCCTGCCATTATTTGTGTCTGATCATTTTATCAACTCTTTGAGCCAGAGAGAAGCAATCTATTTTTTGATACTCTTCGCTGAAATTTGGAAACATATTCTAATGTGGGTTTTCTTCCAGTTTTGGGGA